CGGAAAACAAAGCCATTGAGACACTAGGTAGCTTGATTCCTGTTGGCCCTTCACCTTACCCATTCTTCCTCATGTTCTGTCCTCTCCCCTCTGTGATCTGAAAACACAGGTCCTGGGGAACGTTTGTAGCTCAGTTCAGCATTGGGCTGCGGGGAGGGGGGGCACTGCTGTCTTCAGAGCTGCCTGTTTGCCCCTCAGTGGCCCCTGCCCTGACCATTGTTGTCAATGCATTCTGAGAAAAAGGGATGGGTGGAGTGGGTGGTGGGAGCCCCAGGGACCCCCACAGCAGCCACCAGCCTAGGAAGAAAAGCGAGCTCCACAAATCGAGGAAGACTTCACTGTCTTAAAAGCTAGCCGTGAATTGAACGCCTGGATCCTAAACACAGTTCAAGAAACACCGGGAAAAAGACGCTGCCGGTGAGGACCCAAGCTGAAACGACAACATCCGTTATCTTTTCTTTTTCCCCCCCAATCCCCTTTGGCCCCTACCCTAATTAACATTGTTCTCTAGCAAAAAGTTGTTTTCCTCTTTAAAGGCACGATGCACTAATGGGCTGACATCTGGAGGGCACGCCCCTCTGCAGCGGCGCCCCTCAAACTTCCGCGCGCACAGGCTCGCCCTCACCTGGGTCTTGTTAAAACGCAGCTCGGGTTCTGTAGATCTGGGTGGAGAGACCGTAGACCTGGCTGGTCCACCTGGGCTGGGTGGCGGCTAGCCTCGAAGAGCACCACTGCCCCCTGCCGGGCGCAATTGACAAGGCAAGCCGGGCCTGGGAACAACCAGGGACCACCTGGCGGAGTCAGCCCTCTGCGGAGACGCCACGGGCTGCTTCTCGTCAGCTTTATCTTTTCGTGGCATCTTCACAGTGCACTTCCGGATTTTATTTGCTTCGTTCACTCTCCATCTCAGGGGTCATGCTGAGCATAGGGAGTTTGTGGGGAAGGGAGGGGTGGGGGGAAAGAATGAGGAGGAAGAATTAGGAGCTTGCAAGATCTGCCGAGGAGCACAGTTAGAAACACGTGTCCTGAATGCAGCTGGAGGGGAAGCGGCTAGGTCCCCGGGCACCTCGGGCAGCCCCTCCATCTCCCAGGGGCTGCAAAGCCACGCACTTTTGCCAGGCAGTAAAGCACCTTCTCAGGTGGGACGCGTCTCTTGAATCGACCGAATCTGCAGTATTTCTTATCAATAAATAATTCTCAGCAATTCTCTGGCCTAAAACCTGGTGAACACGTGTCCATCTCTAGCTTTTGTTTCTTAAAGGAAAAAAACAAAAAACACCCCTTCCTAAGGAGGCCATGGCTCCTCCTGGGAATGGGTCAACTCAAATTGCACATGCGCAATGCCTGCGGAAGAGAAGAAGGGGGGGCTTCGACGCGGGGGAGGCAACCTGGTGACAGGGTAGGAGATCCAGGCTTGTCTGGTGGTTGTACCCCCACTCCCTGAGGGTTGTGAGAGCCCACCTGCCTCTTTTTTCACCCCCGCCCCAAAATTTCTAACTTGGCTCTCTGCTTTTTCCTCCAAGCAATGCTATTTTGAAATATGTTTGCCTCTCAAGTGGAAACTGTTAAATAATTCATTGTCTTAGGTCTTGTGAATCAAATAGACCGCTTCCGATAAGAACGTCTTCTGATTAATGTTGACTAATCCATTTGCTCTTACACAGAGATGAAATGAGGTCAAGAAGCAGAAGTCATGAAAAGTCTCACCCTTGTTTTCTCTTCTGACCATATTTCCTATTAGCCTTCAAAGGGTTCACGATAATGTGCAACACTCCCCCACTCCCCCTTCTACCATAACCAACACATATTCCCAGAGATCCAGAAACCCCTTGGAAGATGGGGCCAAGTGCTATCGACAGTACCGAATTCAAAAGAAAGGTAGGGGGGGGGAGGGGGGAGGTCTAAGATAGTGCCAACCAACCTGTGCTGATATGGTGTAAGCCAGGTGTGGAGGGGCTCCTTGGGTCCACACCCAGGAAACGGAGGAGGAAGATGAGCTCGCCTTCTGCAGTTCCCACCGCTTGGCAGCACTAGCCTCACAGACTCGTTGTCCAGACCCAGCATATCCCAAAGAAGGTCGATCGCAAAAGGCCCTAAGAGCCAGGGTCTCTGTCTTGGTGGTGTCACCCATCCCTGCATCCACACAAAGACTCTAAGCCTCGGGAAATGTTCTGACCTTCCCGAGCTTGACTGGGCGATGGCTGCGCCCGGAACCTGTCCTTGTGGCTGATCCCGAGAATTCAAACGCAGCCCTGGAAGCCAGTGCTAGCCCAAGAACCTGGGACCATGGGAATGCCAGCCGGGGTCTGGGTGAAGACCAAAAAGAGCGAGTGAATGCCCAGCGGGATCCAATGGGAGAGAATGAGACTAACAGAGCCCTTGTCCGTTCCTCAGACTGCAAGGTTGACCTGTCGTTTGTTATCGATGGGAGTTCGCGCATTGGCAAACGCCGGTTCCAGATCCAGAAGCAGTTCCTAGCTGCCGTTGCCCACGCTCTGGACCTCAGCCCTGCCGGTCCGCTGATGGGTGTTGTTCAGTACGGGTAAGTGGTTCGTCCCGAGAGGCGTTGCTCCCTTGGTTCCATACCATAAGCAATCGACCACACCCTCTGGGACGCAGGCCAGTGTTCTTTCTTACTGCCAAGGAAACTGAAGTGAGCTAGATGCCCTTTGAGACTTCCAGAAAGAACCCATGGCCAGCGAGAGGGTCAATGCTAACCCTTAGAGACCTTTATTTAAAAAAATTTTTTAATCCCATCGGATTTTTTCTGACCCATATGACCCTACAGGTCAGAGAAGAAGTGTCCCAGGGAGTTTCCTAGGCTGTGCTCTTTCTGGGACCAAATGGCCCCATCGTTCTCTCTCAAAGCAGCTGGCGAACTTGAAGGAAGCACGGGCCTTTGGTTAGTGGCCAGGTACCTAACCACTGCACCAGCAGGGAAAGGACAGGCCAATCAACACGTGTAAGCGTTTGCACCCGTGCTTGGTAGAGAGAGTAGTTCTTTGCGTGGGAATCAGGAGAACTGGGTTCAAATCCTAGCCCTGAGCCTAACACGCGGCATGGCCTTGGACCAGGCCTTGCCCTCTCCAATCAACACTTTCTCATCTACAGACAGACAAGGTTCAGCCCCCTTTCGACCCTGACTGGAAAAACGAGAACATGTGTTTGAGGGGTTATCCCATTTATAGATGAAAGGCCTAGGAAACCCCGGGGGTTCACTGACGCTTTTCTTTGGCGTCCACTCCCTCTGCCAAAAGATGGGAAGCTTCAATTGGCCAGATAACCACGGGCCTCTGTGCCGGCACTGGAGGTGTTCACCAGGCAATGGGCACGACTGGATGGCGAAGGGGTGGCTTGACAAGCAGCTCTCTGTGCCACGGGCTGTCTCCGTTCATTTATTATTTTGTTTCTGGAAATCGGGGTCTTGGATTGACATCCCGTTTTAACCTTCTTTTCTCCTGCTTGGGAGTATGAATTGATCTTATTACAGATATTAATAGGTTTCTTCCCCAAATGGCTATACAGATATTGGCAGATAATGCAGGCAGGTGCAGGATTATGAACAAAATCTCTTGCTACCAGTATCGTGAGGAATTTGTAAGTCAAAGAAAAGAGAATTTGAAGGTGATTTAGAATCGTGCTTATGGTTCCTATGCAGCCTTAGGTTACCATTGGGCTGCTCACTCGAGGTTAACTTACTGCCATTGAGTCCATGATGACTCCTAGTGACCCCGTGGGGCAACTTTACGGGGTCACAGCCCAACGCATAACCACTACGCCACCAGGGCTGCCAGCACTCAGAGGAGAAAGAGGTGGCTTTCTACTCTTGTAAAGAGTTACTGTCTTGGAAACCCACAAGGGACAGTTCTACTCTGCCTAGCGGGGTCTCCAGGAGTTGAATTCAGCTTGATGACAATGGGGGGGTTTGTTGTTTAAATACCAGAAAGGAAGCTTTGGGGGTGCTGTTGGGTAAGCGTGGGACTGCTCACCACAAGGTCAAAGTTCACATCCCCCAGCCGCTCCTTAGGAGAAAGAAGGCAGTTTGGGATGTGTGTCTCTCCTGAGTCCTGTCAATGTTCCCACCTCAGGAACCAGGGACCTGAACGGGCTCACAACACCGCTTCCAAGTCTCCAGCCCAGGGCTTCTGCCTGTCATTTCTCCTGTCCCAGTGACTGTGGCAAATGACCCACGGTGTAATCATCCCAGTCTGCCTTGGCCCAGATGGAACCAGCTGGAATTCCAGCACAAGAGGGCAGGTAGAGGTGTCCACCAGCCCACATTCGTACACCAGGGGGCTGCCAATCAAAAGAACGATCATAAATCTCAAATACAAGTGACTCTTGAACCCTTGAGGGCAGAAAAATGATGGCATACACCGAGACACTTTCCCCAAAGGACCATTACACACGAGATGACGCCCTCCTGCCCCTCAGACCCGCAGCTTCCCACAGAAGCTGATGGCTTGGCTCAGAGTGGCAGTTACAGCGCATTAGCATCTCCTGAAAATGCAAAACATGCCTGCCCGCCCATGACATCAACCATCCCCCTTCAGAGTTTCCCAAGAGCCTCTCAGAGCAGCAGGCTAGCTGCTGTTTTCACTGATGACCAATCAAAAAACAAGCCCATCGTCTTCAAGTTGATTCTGACTCACGGTGGCCCACATGTTACAGAGGAGAATGACCTGTGGGCTTGGCTCGCTGTCATCATGGGAAGCAGGTGGCCACACTTTCTTTCCACAGGGATGCCGGTTGAGTTTGAACCACCAGTTTTAGGTTAGGAGTTGAGAGCAAACTGTTTACACCATCCAGGGAGCCCTGCTGGCGTAGTGGTTGCACATCGGGCTGATAATCACAAGGTCAGCAGTTCAAAACCACCACTTTGCAGGTGGAAGACAGCCTTAGAAACCCACAAGGGCAGTTCTGCCCTGTCCTATAGGGTCACTATGAGTTGGAACCAACTCGTTAGTAGTGGGTTTTTGAGTTATCAAGAGAGATAAACATCAAAATAAACAAAAGGTGGTGTTTCCCTAGAAGCTGAGAATATTTTTCCTTTTAGAACTAAATTCCAGTACCACATTTAGCATTTTGTAGTGAAGAAAGTTAACAGATTATTCTGGTGAGGAAATTTAATAGATTAGTTTACAGACCCTGTAGATAGCCAAAGAGTTAATGTATAAAAAATAACCAATTGCTGAAAATGCTAACTCTCAATGTCAAATTATCTACCTTGAGGATTTTGATTTGAACTAGGAGAAAAAAATATGACATTGTTTTCTAGTTTTCAAAATGTCAGCCATTTTTACGCCTGTCATTTTTTTAAAGACATCAGACTGATAGCAGCCTCTCTGGGGAAGAAATCCTTGTTGGAGGACCAGTTGTCTCTGGTCAGTTTTATTTGCGGCTCAAAGCTGGATGTGCTACCTTGCATTAAAAATAGCCATTCTGGAAGCTTGTGTACACCGAAGGGTACAGCACAGTATGAAAATAAAGTGATACATATGGCACGGAAAAGAGAAATGGCATGAGAATCGTGTTGTGTGCAGATGAGAACATGGATTCAAGAGCAGATGTGTCAGGAAAGGAAAAACTATTCCCCACCCCCCCACAAGCAACAACAACCCACTTCCCGCCACACTCTCTGGTATGAGGACCAAATCAGGAAAGATCTCACCTTGGAGCTTGTCCTCCATCCACTTTCTAAGGATTCTTTTGCCAACCCAGCCAGGGTCCTTATTAATTTGGGGCACTGCGGGGAAGTGTGTGTGTGTGTGTGTGTGTGTGTGTGTGTGTGTGTGTGTGTTTCCCTTCATTTGGGGTCCCTACAAGCTAATGCCTCCCCTGTGGCCTCCTCTGACGACAGGGTGGCATGGAAAGCCCAATGAGATGGGCACAGGATATCTGAGTTCTTCCCTGGCTCGGCCTTGTGACCTTAAGTTGGTCACTTCACCTCTCCCCGGAAGTGCAGTTGCCTGTAAAGAAGGGGGCTGAACTGGATGATTTATGAGGGTCTTGCCAGCCACAGTGTCCCCTAACTCAGTGGCAGACGCTGCATCCCCCTAAATGGACATTGGGCTAACAGACTAGGTGAGCCCCACTCCCTCTCCCCGACCCCCGGCTTTCCTTCTGCCTCAGGGTTCCCATCAAGCTGAGATGATGAGCGAAGGCCAGGGGGCAAGTCTGGTGTCAGCGACAGAACTGAGTCAGAATCCACTCGGTGGCTGTGATTGGGCTGCTAACCAAAAAGTCCGGCTCGACAGAAGGACATTGGGCCTCCACTCAAGTACTCCCTCAACGCAAGAATACTTTCTTCTATTAGACTGGCATTCTATGATGCTCACCTTCCCGACACAGCCACTTTCCTCTAGTTCCTAAATGTTTCCTCCCTGCTCCCA